GAATTATTACAAACAATAGTATCTCAACAATCATCAATCATTTTTAAGATGGATTTGTTTGCAAAAAATGTAATTACAGCGATATACTTCAAAAAATGCTGGCACTAATATTAAGCAAAGACACATTCGTTTAGTAATCTTTGTGAATAATGTCATGTTACGGAGAATTCGTGTAAAAATGTTGACTAATAAAATGCCAATATACTTCTTTCTCAGATATACATATTCCAAGTGACAAAATAATATTAGGAGGCAATTAATTGTACAAGTCTTTGATTCTTATAAAGTAGGTAACGTTTCAGTAATTCATAAGTAAATGTGCAATTCTATATTCTCATCGAAATAAACACATTTAAGCCTTTAGTGTTCCCATTATTAAAAAAAAAAAATTACTAATATTCCACATAATTAAAATTTACGTAACATTTTTTTGATGTTTTGTTTAATACATGCAGTTATGGAGTTACAAATAAGCCTTATGAATAGTTTTAACGATATTTTCTAACTGCTTTATAATAATATCTACAAACACATTTTTTCCTACGACACTGAAAATTTCAACAAACTTACGCGTTTCAACAAATACTCGGACTAAACTAATGTGCTTAATAGCCAAGGAATTAAGTCGATAACGATAGTTGTAGTCACATAGATAATAAAGATAGGATGAGCATATAAACCGAGATTTAGTTATTTAAAAAAGATAAATAACGATTTATTTACTACATAACTCCTTTATTGTTACTAAATTTAAATTGATTAAAAAAAAATGAAAAAAGAATTGAGAAACAACGTATGACCGAAAATAAGATCAATTAGAGTTGTCGTTGTCTGTTAAGTTTTGAATGAAATGGTATTAGTGGTATGTACTACTATCCCCATTTTGACGTAAATCAATATCAACATAACCTTTACCTAATTAATTTTTGTCAATCGGTTCAGATTGTTTCGGATTACTCGATTTTGCTAGACGTATTTAATTTTTAACACTACAGGTTTTTTTAGATGTCATGGACTTTAAAAGTAAGATTCCCAAGATTAAATTTAGTTTAAGAATGAATGAAAATTCTGCAGCGTCTATTTCGTTTAAAAACTATAGACGAAGGCTTAGGAGCAGAAAAACATTTTATTGGTTATACAGGGTTTCTATAAATGATTATATGGTGGAAGTAGGTCACTGATGTGTGCCGCCTATCAATTTACGCTAATCTCACTAAATACCCAAGGATTCAAGATAGAAAACAAATGCATGCGTTTAACTGGTTGCCTAAATTCTTCATATCTTATTAAAAATAAAATTAATCCATTAGAATAAAAAGAAACAAATTTATTGTGGATAAATATCACAGTAAATGTTGAAAATGTTCATCATTTTGTTCGAGGTACATGTAAACTCTATTTTTAATTTCAAAAATATTCTTGCAACATCCTTTCCATAATCGTTTGGATCCATTGCTCAATTTCATGTTGCAACAGGAACTCTTGACTGCTGAGACAATCTTGCCAATGATGTTCGCGGATTCTGCTCGAGTCGTCTCAAACCATCAATAACTTTCTCAGATACTGAAGGTCTTCCACGAGATTTTCCTTTGTTCACACTGCCAGTTCAACATCTCAAATCATCAACAATTTCATCAAATACTGAAGGGAGAGAATTTCACGTTGTTGATATTACCAGTTCGAACAAATCGGTTGATCTCCTCTAATGTGAGCCTTTAACGATTACACTGTTTTAGATTTGTGTCAGTTTATTATGCACTGAAGGGAATCTTCCTCAGCTAAAACAAATAGTTTATACTGAAGTCGATATGACAATTTACGGTGAAATGGAATCACTTTTTTCACTGTAAAAAAGACCAGTACTAAATTTACTGCAGTTCCTATGAAGTAATTTATAAAGTTGTGGATCAAAGGAAAGAAATTAAAAAGCAACGTAAATAACATATTGTTAAAACATGGAATTGCTTTGGGAAGTACAACAAGGGCAGAATATAATACCATAGAATAAAAAAAAAAACTTATCTAGTGAGCCATGGATTTAATTTTTTCAAAAACTGTGGTGTCAGTACTGTTATTTTCCATTGAAGTTATCTGTCAGTTTGACATTTTTATTGTCAATATAATAAAAAAAAATGCTTGAAACATACCATACAACTTTTATTATCCAGTTATTACCGAAATGGAGTCAAGCAAGAGAATGGTCAGTGATCTTACGCTCTGATGCAATACCTGTATAGAAGATTAATTATGCTACTAATTTCCCAAAACCTCAAGAACGACCAGCTGTGATAGTGCAGCTGCAGATTTTGTCAACACAATTAAAAAAAAATCCATGGCTCACTAGACAAGTTTTTTTTTCGATCCTATGGTATAATGAGACATGAGGTACAATAATTACTGAAAGAGTGGAATACTTTTAATCAATCAAGTTACCATCAGATAAAATTTAATTAAATACCTAAGGATCACACGGACTATGAAAGGTTCCACGTGCAAAATTTAAACAATTAATAATTATCGATCTCAATACTCCAAGCCTATTAAGATCATCTCTTCTTCCAGGTATGCCATTTTGAACTATATAACAAGATCTAGATCCAGAAACAACAATTTTATAGTTTATGTATTACGACTGTTCTAAAAATAAGTTAAATTTAATGTAACATCAGCACCATTTTAGATTATAGAGACTGATATTTCTTTGAAGATTAACATCACAATATTTTTTTTAATTATCGTCGAGCTACTAATTCAACAATGATAGTGATTGTGTATAAACTAATTACTTCAAGCGAGATTAGAAAATTATTTCGGGTACTTATATTTTATCAGCGAATACTTTAAATTTCTGTGAATTTTTGATGTACGTGCTACTTTTCTAGCCGTTTTTCCTTCTCGAGTGAAAGCTAAGGACGTACTGTAATAGGCTCCATCTGGCGAATGGCGAGTTTTGTGTTTTTCGACGTTTCATAACCCCGAAAGTACGAAAAATAGATCTCCCATTTCCGTCTGCCTGTATCGAAATTTATTTCACGAATAATCTCAGAAGATATAGATGGTAAAATGCAAACCAAAATTTGTCTATCTAATCATCCTCATCAGTAATTTGATACACGTCTTCTCATCATTTTGCGTAGTAAATACAGATTATCTAAATTTTATTTTAAATATTGTTCTGTACTCGTTGATTATGAATCCGCCTTAATTTTTATCACAATTATTTTAGATTTTTTTGTGCAATATTTTTCACATGGTTCGTGTTGCGAACCATGTGAAAAATATTGCACAAAAAAATATCAAGTACCTCGTGGGTGAGTTGGTTAAATGGGGGATTGTCGAACTGTGACTAGTATTATCTATATTTTTTACTCATAGGGTTTATTCTAAAAGAAAGGAGATTTTGCAATATCAAATCAATTCTGTTAAGGTTGAATATGTTGCTGAAAATTTAAACATTACACAATATCGATTGTCCGCAAGACATTATTACTAGCTGCGGTCCTGCTTTATTAATTTTGGTAAGCCATACGATTTCAATGAGGTTTCCATTGTAGTTTTTGTAGTTGGTTTGACTGTTACGGAGTGTTTCCATTTTTACTTCCCGAGCGTACTGTGGAAGCACTGTAATATTTGTTTATGTTCTTGTTTGCCCGGTTTTATCGACTTTTCCGAATTTCTTGGTGTTTTTCTTCAGAAAGTTTGACTTTTTTACTTTGTAATGGGGTCCACCACCTAATGGTTATTTTAATGTTTTCTCAATGTTTCATGACACCTGGAATGTGAAAAAATAGGTCGTCCATTTCCGTTTGTCGTCTATTATCTATCGTCTGTCGTCTGTTTTACTTCATTGTAACTAAAATTATCTATATTTCTTTAACTTATAGAGTTTATTATAATAACAATAAAATTTCTCAAAATCACATTTTATAATAAGTGAAACCGTGAAACTACCCTACCCTACCAACTGTTAACAAATTTTATAGTGTGTTAGAATGAAAAGCAAACTTTATCTAATCATCCCCACTAACGTCATGTCAAAATTGTGTATAGTAAATGTTATTTAAATACATACTCTGACGTTTGTGTTTTATTAATCCGTGTTGATTTTTTATCCAAGACATCCAGGTTGTTCGAAAAAATTAGATAAACTCACTTGAAACATACGCATAGCAAGCTTTTCTACAACACTACACACATGCCCTTATTTTAACTAATAGAGGTTATCATAAAAAAATAAAATTCGCAAAATGAAATTCTATAATTTTTCGAAAAAGCCGGATATGTAATAAGTAATGAAATGAAGCTCAATAGAAATTCCGCCACGTAACCATGAATATGTTATAAAATAAGTAAAAACTAACCATATATCGAATTCGTTACTTAATAATTTGCATTATTTAAGGAATAATACAAGGAATAATAAACTATTTTTTTTTACATTTTGTTTATTGAAATATGTACTAGAGTCCAAAGACCATTAACGTACTCATTTATGTAGCTTGTTCATTGAGTTACAAGGCCAACATTCGAAGCCAAAGCTATAAAATAATTACTGTCATTATTATTATTATGTTTTGGATTTTTAATTAAATCTAAAAGACAAATTTTTCCACAAAAATATATTTTAAGTACTATATTCTATTTATAAGAGATCTAAGTTATAAATATTTGTACTGATTTTTAATCTCACCTCGGTTACGACCTTAATATGTAAAGTCAATTTTCAAGATAATAGGGAAGCGTCATTCAGTTTGTTGTAATTCATAAAATAAAATTAAAACAATTCTAATTCATGTTGTAAAAATACGCACGAACATTTTAGAACATACAATTACAAACATTTTAAAATCAAAAATTGTCAATACTTCCGCAGAATTAATAATTCATTCATGTTTAGATCGCGATATAACAAACACTTACCTACTTTTTTTCAATGACATTGATTATCATTTATCGCTCCTCAAGAATAATAAATAGAAAATCTCGGCAGACCGCCACTCAGTTCACGTTTCCTCACTGCAGCGAATACACTATTGACAACATTTCAGATTATGTAAATTTATAATTAGAATTTTATCATAATTACTGTATATTTTTAACAAATTAAAATGACCGCGGCCGATAACTCGCTTGATGCAATTTTATTACAAATTGGCGATTTTGGAAAATATCAGATTTTCATATTTAGTGTTGTGTGTCTTGCTGTGACTTTTCACTCTGCGGTGCATGTGGCATACGTTTTTACTGCTATGGATTTGAACTATCGGTGAGTTAAACATTTATCAAAGCATGCTTCGTCAAATGACTACAATGTTTTTCTCGTATCTAATAATCAGACTTTGTTAATAATAATGCGATATATTTTATTTTCATTAGGTGTGCTATACCAGGATGTGATACTATAAATCCCCAATTTGAACCTACATGGTTACCAAACGCTATTCCGTTTTCCGAAAATGAGCCGTCAAAATGTTCGAGATACGTAGTTAATAATGCCACTCAGTTTACTAACTGTAGTAAAGCAACAGATTTTACTTCTAAAACTGAAACCTGCAATTCCTTTGTATACAAAACTGATGAATATAGTATTTTAAGAGAGGTAATAGCGACAACAGTGCTAGTATTCCAGAAACTAAAATTATTACTTTGTAGTACGATCTTCAGTGTGACGATAACTTATGGAAACTGACACTAGTCGGAACCATTAACAACGTTGGCCAATTTTTTGGTTTGTTTATTTCAGGAATTATATCAGACAGGTAAAACAATAGGCAAAATCAAACTTTTCAGTAATAACTGTTTTTAAGATTTGGACGAAAAGTGGTTCTCATTTTTGGCTTAGTTTTCTGTGGATTGTGCGGAATCATTCGAAGTTTTGCTCCTTCTTACGAATGGTTTTTAGTTTTTGAATTTTTGGACGCCGCTTTCGCTGCTGGAAGTTATGTCTGTGGATTTATTATGGGTATACAAAAACAGCCTACGTTATTATAAAATTAACTTGTTGTTAATAGGAGTTGAACTAGTTGGCCCGAAAAGAAGAGTACTTACTGGCACTTTATCAAGTTCTTGCTATGCGGTTGGTGAGGTGTTTGCAGCGGGAGCTGCATGGTTAGTCCAATCTTGGAAGTAATTTTTACACGTTTTGTTGTGTTGCTAGTGTTAAAACACTATGTTGTAGACCAACTATTTACATTTTATATACACCACCCATTCTACTTCTCGGTTGTTTCTGGATACTCCCAGAGTCAGTCCGATGGAATTTAAGCAAAGGTAGATTTGAAGAAGCCAAAAAAACACTTAAACGTATTGCTGAAGTCAATGGAAAGACGATATCAGACAGTACCTTTGATAAACTTGCTCTAGCTGATGAAAGTGAACCGACCGACACATACATAGATGTACTTAAATCCAGAACGTTGTTCTTGAGATTAATAAACTGTTGCTTTTGTTGGATAACTTGTGCGTTCCTTTTTTATGGTTTGACGTTAAATTCAGTAGCACTAGCTGGCAACAGTTACCTAGACTTCGTTCTAACAGCTCTTGTAGAAATTCCAGCTTATTGCATCTGTACCTGGATTATCGACAAATTTGGAAGAAAATTGTCTTTGAGTGGTTCATTTTTCCTTACGGCTTTAGCCTGCCTGGCATTTTTGATCATTCCAGATGGTAATTTAAAATTTTTTCCTAGAACTAAAATAAATTGAAACAATTCTAGATTCTGAAGGTGGTCGTCTTGCTGTGTATCTCGTAGGAAAATTTGGAGCTACAGTGGCTTTTACAGTAACTTACGTTCTAACGAGTGAACTTTTCCCCACGCGTTTGCGCCATTCAATGATGGGAACATGTTCCACTTTTGGAAGAATAGGATCTATGGTGGCACCACAAACTCCTTTACTGGTATGTCTGAGTAACTCTGAAATGGGTATATGAAATGAGGAAGGAAATTTTAGGCTCAAGTTTGGGACCCTTTGCCTGTTGTCATGTTTACGTCTATGGGTACGATAGCGGGACTGTTGACAATTCTATTTCCTGAAACTCTAGGGATCAAGCTTCCCGATTCAATAGAAGAAGCCGAAAATGTAGGAAAACATAGAGATAAAGGAGAGAGTTAGCATCTGTGATAGTATATAAACACACTACTTTGTAAATATTCTATTGTACATATTATAAACAGTATTTATATTTTTAATAAATAAGTTTATGTCTACACGAAGCTGATATGATTTTAAATGTCTGATTCCATACATTGAAGAATAATTATAATGTAAGTGGAGGAAGCGGCCAGGATCTATAATTAAAAGTATTGGTATTGAAGCTATATGAAGAGTGTTTAGACGCACTGAAAATACGAGAGTGTAGTCTACAGGGAAAAAACCTCCGGCTTCAATTTTCACATTTTCGTGATGTAGCTGCAACATAAATGCATGGACCTAAAGAAACACCTAAAATTTAAAGACTTTATAAATAAAACACCTACTTCCTTCCAAATTTTTCGATTTTTAGTCTGAGTAACGACGGAAAAAGCCACTTCATTCAGCGAATTTGACTGAAATTTATATTCGTAATATCAAACAAATTATATGTCAAGATTACCTTCCTAAAACATTTATGAGATAAATATACACAAAAATACAACTTTAAACAAGATACAACTCCCAGGTATAACCCAGAAAATTGTATGTTTGTCTTAAAATCACGAATCAGCAAGAAAGCGTTAAGAAAAATTATTTTGAAATACGTCCCAGTTAAAAAGAGTAACTGCAAAGAAAAAATTTTCCTCACAGTTCTGATTATTTCGCAAATATTCTGATGCATCCGAGGAATATTTTGTATGTCCGGTATGGACTCAGTTTTGGAAGCTTCCACAAACTGGTCACGCACTTTGTCAAAAAAATCACAGATGAAATGAATCATCACTGAATAAAATATTTCAATAAAGTTTTTAAGAATATTGTTGTAATTAAAAGAAAAAAATAGTAGAACGTTCCAAATATTAAAAACTCCGTTCTGAATCCATGCGTAGCCAAAGCGTATATTAAAAAAAAATAAATTGTAAAAAAATTGATCTAACGTATATATTATGATCAATTTTCTTATGAAGTGGAAAGTTGTTACAAAACGATAGGTGTGAACAGTATATGCAAATGTCAAAATTTTCTTGAAGATGAGGCATATCTGGTTTTGTTTTATTTTCAAAATTAGTATTATAAACATCGTGTTAATATGCGGAGTATAACAGTATATAAAATCAACAAATGCGAGGGTCAATTTTTCTTGTTTTACTTCGTGGGCATAAAGTCTTTTAAAATTAAAACATATGAAACTTGATATTAATATGAGAATTGTGTTTGAAACAACATTATATGTTTTCGAAAAGCTACAGGACACTCCTCTAAAATTCATAGATGATATTCCAAAAATTCTCATTAAGACTATCAAATGTGTAAAGACTTTTAATATATTATTACATGAATTCATTATGAGTATTAAACGGAATTAATTTGTTCTTTGTAGCTTCAGTTAACCACAACTGTATTACGTTTTTGTTTGAATTTATTGTTTGTCATCACTTAGAAACATTTGAGGTAATATTAACGAAATTATGAACAAACAAGTAAACAAAGAACAATACAGCTTTATGAGAAATGAAATAAACGTATTATGAATACAGTAATTAATAATTGGCTCTTACAATATACTCGTCCATTTCAATAATTGCCTTCATTCCGAACACAGTATAAACTCAACTAGAAAATGACACCCTCTGAAAATCTTAAAACATACAACAGTTTACCTCTGTTACTGTTAAAATGTACTGGATTATCTTTCATTTTTTATGACAGTAAACAAAACTCTTTTAAATGCTCGCTGAGTTATAACTTTTGGTCGTGTTTTGCCTTCTTGGCAGCATTTTGTGTAATGTTTTACAACTTAAATTATTTCTACGATTCCGTATTGCAAGTGTCTCGTGAAGCTAGATTTACTCTTGTCATAGTGTACACTATGTACCTATACACGCCTAATATAGTGCTCATCATTAACGTATTATTGATTAAAATTAAACAACCAAAGTTGGCCGAAATCTTTAATTTGGTAACAAATTTCAGAAAACATTTTAAAGTTGGGATACTGAATTATAATTTTCGTCTTTTTACCTATACTACTAGTGCTATGTTCCTCGAAACTATCGCCTTTAATGTGCTCTTTGTCATACCGTGCTTAATTTATCCGCATGTGCAAAAAACTTCACTAAATTATCATCACTTTTTATTCGCTTTTTTCATGAATTACATTCACATCACTTCTATTTTAATAGAAGTGCTTCATTTTTTGTTTCTGGTGGTAGTGGCAAGTTTTTTCTCAGTAATTGATAATCTTTTTAAAAAAGCCTCTATAGAGAAAGACATATACAGTATGCGCCATTGTTTAAAGTTACACCAACGTCTATACGATATTACTAAACAAATTAATGACACATTTTCATTGCCACTGCTATTTTTAATTGGTAACTATTTCGTTTATTTGTACATTCATACTTTTGGAATTTATTCCGAACTCTACTACGGTAGAGTAAATCCCACTGGATTTGCAGGAATATATGCTCTTGTCATTATCACGATCAAAATGTTTTTTTATGTTTTCGTCGCTAACAAAACTATGAAAGAGGTAAATATTTTCTAACTGCTACTTAAGTTAAAAATCGCGTTTATTTTTAGGCAAACAAGATCAAGAGAACTGCTATTGACATTGTGATTAGCACCCGAAATAAAGACATCAGGAAAGAGGTAAGTCTTCCATTTGTAACTAACAACACATACTTTGTCTTTTTTTAGACAAATGCTCTAGCTCTACAATTATGTCACGAAGAAATTCAAATTGTTGCTGGAGGCTTTTTTGTAATTGATTACCCACTTCTATTTGAGGTAAAAGCTAAACATTGTCAACCAAAAAAAAAAAATGTCGATGTTTCTAGATGATGGCAGCGTGTTCAACATATATCGTCATCACTATTCAATTTATTGATGTAAATTTATAAGTTATGTGGCACAATGTTTCACACTATCAAATGTAACAAGTTGCGTACAATGAAGAGTTAAATATTCTGTTTATTAATAACATTATAATTTCTTAAAATTTGTTTGAACTTTTAATTAAACATTACGGGTGGAATTTTATAAATTAATATTTATTTGCAGTGTTTGGTCACGTACATATTTTTGCGATTTGGTAACGATCAGTAATAATGTGTTTGTATTGTGTCAACTGTCTACCCACACTAATTATTTTTTTAACACCGCTGTTAAAACACACCCTTGTCACGTATTTGAAAACACTCTGAATATCGAAAATAATTTCATAAAGAGAAAGAACTAAGAAATTTACTTCTGCTTCTACTAGTTTCATGTTTTCTGGATGTTTTATAACCCCTAGAGAGGAAAAAGTAGGTCACGCATTTTCGTCTGTCTGCCGTGTGTCTGTCTGTGTCAATTTTTATTAGACAGTTAGTCTCCGAAACTACTATCCCCACGACAATCTGATGACGTTAAAATTTTTTTAGTATTTAATTTAGTGTCTATGAATTCGCCTTGAAATTCTCCCCTAGGCATCCAAATTTTCGCAATAAGCGCAGTTTCTACTTCTAATGCGAAGGTCGTACACGTTTGATTGTCTCGTGGTATCTTTAAATATTATATATTTTTTTACTTTATATTCTTTTATATAATTCGTTGTTAGTTTTTATATAACCAAAAAATAAACACAAAATCTGGATGACTGCAATGAATAATGTGTGTATATTTGACACAACAAGAACTGTAAGAAGTCAAAAAAATAATACTGTTACGGAGTAAACCCATACGCTCTGGTACGACGCCTATGAGTTTTCTGGAGGGCTTTCTAGCATGTACGGCGATGATGGATGACTCATCGTCGGTGACGGCGGCCGGGCGGCGTTCTCTAAAGAAAAGCCTGGAAGTGGAAGCGGAAATCGCTATGGGTAGTCCAGAAAAAACTCGAGCGCGAAATATCTAGAAAAGAAGTAAGGGTTTAAATAGAAGCCACGAGGCATTCAGTCAACGAGAGTATCCAGTCAAGTTGCGCCGGTATTATTTAGTATATAATCGTGTAATTCGAGTTACTGAGAAATAAATTGTTGAGTTTTATCCACGCCGATTTTTAAATTACCGATCAACATATCAAATACATTATCTACTAATAACGACTGATCAAAAAGTTTTCAGATTAGAGTGTACTATGGAAATAATTTTCATTTTTGGTGATTTTTAATGTTGGAACAGCGAAGTTTTCGCCCCTTTACTCATACATAACGTTGTTCGAAATTTAATTTGGCAAGTTTGAATTATGACATGTCAGGCTATAGAAAGAAAAAATATTTGCATAACCTTTTAATGACCCGTTATCTCAGAAAATGAGGAGGGTATGGGTGTACAACTATATACCTATATTTTGTCAGAGCAATGGTTTTCCGCTTTACTTTTTTGTGTAAATGTATACATTTAATATGTTAAAATTTCTCTTTCGTTTATCAAAATTTTATCGACACAAAAAATTATTGTAATAGGATCCACTGGGCGATTGGCTACTTTCATGTTTCCTCGACGTTTGATGTCCCTTACAGGACGAAAAAAGTGGTCTCCCGTTTCCGCCTGTTTGTCTGCCTGTCTGTCCTCTGCCGTCTACCCTCTGGCCTCTGCCGTTTGTCGTCTGTGTCGATTTTTATTAAGCATATACATAATCCAAAATTATCGAACCGATTTTTATCAAATTTTATTTATTTGTGTTAAGAATATCATGTACACAATTTTTTTCTGTTGAGCAAATCAAGAAAAAATCACCTCACTTTCTTGGAAATTTGAGAATACAGTAATGTTACGCCCACCTATATTTAATAATAATAATATAAGAATTATTTGCAACAGCTACTTAATTAAAATAATATCCATACGGTTTTGCTTTACTGTAGCTTAATTAATAATTTTAGTCGCCTCCTCTGTTTTGAGGGGGCAGCTTGTGGGGTGCTTAATCGTCGCATTCTTTCGATTTATAAACATGAACAATCGAAGTTAAGCATGTACTATTTTCTTTTCCGTTGGGTACCTATTTTAAGTATATTTGACATTATCTGTGCCTGTGCGAATTGCGCCCTCCATGGCACAGGCGCTGCGGAAGTATTATTTTATTAATTTA